TTTTTTTTTTTTTTTTTTCTTTCTATTTCTATCCTTTCTACTTTTCCCCCTCTTACTTCTTTCCTCTATATTTCATTTCATTCTTCATCCAAACAGAGCATAAATCGTTATCATACTTATTTTCCAAACTATATTGTAGACTATGTAGAGTAATCTGATTCAAAATATATTTAATGTTTTCAAAAACAAAGTAAAACTGTGTTTTAAGCTCTGTCTAGATGGACTTTTTAGTACATGCAAGGCAAATAGGAATAAGGATTAAAACAATTTTACAAGTTTATATTACCATTATGCCTTCTGAAGCAGCCCATGCTTTCAAGATATCAGGATCCACAGAGACAACAGCAACCAAAGTAGAATTTAGGCTATCACCTATAAAGGAAAAAGAAGCATCAGAAAGCTAGTGAGGGATAAGGTAAGAGAGATACAAATAATGCACACACTGAATTTGTGGAACAATTTATTTCCTTACCATATACAAAGCACTGTGCCACAAACTTGCATTTGACATATACATTTTCAATCTTCTCAGGAGCAATGTACTCGCCTTGTGCCAACTTAAAGATATTCTTCTTCCTATAGAAAAACGGTTAGCTTTCATTCATATGCTTGACAAATTCAGTCAATGTTGTAAAGATTGGGCTGAGTAAGTAGACAGACAACTAGGGGTGACATGTTTCTAGATCATCTTACTGAAGTTAATGATATAAAAGTTGAACGGAGGCAGCATGCAGCTATAAGTCTTACAACAACAGCACTCACTGAACAAAGTACCAACGGGAGAAAGAAAGTTCACTCTAAAGTGTCATTCTAGTCTACTCATTGAACAAAGCACACTTGCAGCCAGATGAATTAAAGTATTTAATAGATATAGAATCGATTTAATGACAAGTGGTAAGTTAAGAAGCCATTTTTCTTGCTAAATAATATGGATTATAGCTATAATTAGAATGATGCTGTCTCACCTATCAATAATTTTGAGACGACCACCAGGTAACCACATCCCAATATCTCCAGTATGCAGCCATCCTTCTTCATCAACGACTTCTCTCCTGCACAATTTGATTGAAATTCAATTACTTCTAAACATGACAAGGTAAATTTCATTCATAAGAACCACAGAACAGGCAAGGTAGTTACGTCTGAACTTCGTCTTTGTGATAACCTTGAAAAATAGTGGGACCCCTGACACAAATTTCACCACGGGGATTGGGCTGATCATCAGATGTATAGTTCATTTCTGGAACATCCACAAGTTTTATCTCTGAAACAAAAGAACAAAACTCTTGGCACTAAGCATAAAAATGCTACAGATGAAATAAATTAAATATAGCTTCATCTTTTAAATTCTTGCATAGAAGGATGGCGCAGGTAAAAGTGTTCAAATCCACTTTTTTTTTAAGATTACTAGAATACTAGACGGTGTCCCACACACTGCAGGGAAGAAAATAAAAATTTAAACAGTAAACACCAATGCAAATAATTTTTTTCAAAAAAAAAATAAAAGAATCATCATTGGTGGGAGAGAATTGCATCAGAAGTCAACACGTGTATTGTTTCTGGACAGATTTAATATGTACTGAGGTTATTAACTTCCTCACTTTCTATTAGATGATAATTCAGGTCCTTTGAACATAAAAGTAAGATTGCACCAAAAACCCCTCAGTAGTCCAATAGCATGCATAAATTAGACTTACACATTCAGCTGGTGCATAAAAGAATCTGCAAAGAATTTAACTATCATTTTTATAGAACTCATCAAATAAAAAAACGGTCCATCTCAAAAATTCAGTACCAAGAGAGAACATTTTGAATAACCAAAAAAGACGGGATGTTGCTACTAAGGAAAAAAAAACATTTCAATGATATTATTATAAAGTTGATTGGTACGTGGCAAATTACCTGACGTAATATCAAGCATGCAGGTTAAATCATGAATATACTTAATGTGAATTGAAATTCATACTAAGTGCTCACCACAGGCTGGATTAGGAGAGCCAACATGACCACCAAGTGTGTCACCATCATCAATGCAGCTTATAACACAAGTAGTTTCCGTCATTCCATATCCTTCAGTCACTCGACCACCAAAGCAACTGTGAAATAGATGTAGACATCATTCAGAAGGGAAAAACTGATTGAAGATAAAAGAAGGACTGTTCTATTTAGTAATTTATACATCAATATTATGAAAAACTTACATCTTTAAAAATTCCATGACATCAGGTGATAAAGGTGAGGCACCTGACCCCATAAAACGAACTCGTCCTCCAAGCTTTTCCTTTAT